TACTGGGTGGACTTGTCACCTCGCGCACAACGACATGATCAAGACACCAATACAGTTCTCTATGACAAGTCCGTTGTCCAAACAGTTGGCTAAATTTCGAACGAGACTAGCAGCTGCGGGGTGCCACCCCATGAACAGGGACGGATTTGGTTTGTTGCCCCATGACGTCCATGCACTTGTGGACGGTTTGTCGGAGGTTGGGTGGGACTCGAGAGAGACGAATCCAATTTGTGGGGAAATTTCAGATCACGCCATGGTGCTAGAATTCAATGAAGCCTTGGTGACGAGTTCTCGGGGCCTCGCACGCGCTGAGACAGAGTGTGCGCTGGTGCTTGAGGGCAGGCTCTCTATGGCCAGGGCCAAGAGCCATGACCCACAGTTGTTCAAGGCTGCGCAGGAGGGCATGGTTTGGAGGGTGATTGCGAGAGAAGCTCTGGAGATGCATGGCGTGGCCCAATTGATCCAATCAGCTTCCAACACCAGTGGCCATTTACAACGGGGAGAGCATGAATGGCAAATCTTGCTTCGCATGAAGAGCCTGATTGAAAGGTCCACCTCTCCTCCAGAGTGGAGCCAGGTTCGGAAGGAGATCTGCAGAACCAAACCGGCTTCCATCGAGGCCACACCATACATGCCCCAATTCCTTCTGAGATTCATGCACAAGGAGCTCTTGGGAAAGGTCGAGGAAAGAATCAAGAAGAGTGTGAGCTCAAAGAAATCTTTGGGCGCAGACTTTCACAAGGCCTTGAGTGGGAACTCCAAAGATTGGAAGGCGCAGGGTCTTTTGTTTCGGCATATGCTGCTGGCTCTGGCCTACACATCAGACAGGGTGCAGGCCAGCGATTGTCGGCGCATGCTGTCGAAGGATTTCAGCCCGAAACTCACCGCCGCAGAAGAGATGTCTACCAAGATCTTGAAGATGTTGAAGAAGGCTGATGTCAAGGAGAAGGGCACTGATGCACAGGAAAAGTACGAAACTTTCCAAGACTCGCTGGTGTTGCAAGCCTTGAAGAAGGTCAAGGCAACTCCAGAATCCATGGCGTGTGAGTTGGTGGATGAGCTTGAGGAGCTTCTCGGCACGCGGCTTTCCACCGAGTTCGATGATCATGGGAAAACTACCAGTTCCAGTGCACCTCCTGCAGGAAGCGAGGGTCCCTCAGCAGCTTCGCCGACCGGACAGTTTCAGCAAGAGTTTCATTTAGCACTTTTTTTGTCGAATGGTTGGAACAAAACGATCGTCGCATAAGTGTTTACAACAGAGTCCTTTGGTGAGCAAATATGAAAACACTGTCATTAGAGTGCATTCCTTGCGTTGTTCAGTCACAACTCTTTGTCAAAGCTGCAGGCTCATGTTTCATTTGACTTTTCATTTGATAGAAACAACGTCATTGCAGAACTCCTTGCGTTGTACATGCCGTCACAAGTCTTTGTCAAAGCTTGAGGCTCCCTGAGTACGAGGAGTTTGGGAAGCTCAAGGCCGTGCTGGTGAGAGAGCACGGTTTTGTTCAGGGAAGAGGCTCAGAGAGAAAGTAATAAATTGAATGATCTTCGCATGTATGCTGAGATTGGCTCTGCTCACTTCATCAGGTCTCAACTGTGAGGTGCGGACCAGACCGTGCTTGGCCAACACATTCATGAGCTTGTGCATCGCTTGCGCAAGTTGCCCATCTTGGGCCTGCGTGACACTGGCCTGGATCTCACTCAGTGCCTCCGTGCGCACAACCATGGTTCACACAATGAGCTTTCCTTGCAACTCTTTGATCCCAAAACTACAAGTCGGCGAGCTGCAAACGCATGCCCTGCAATCATGCAAAGGTTGCGAGCGTGTGTCTAACACCCTGCGTTCGTTGTCTTCAACGTGTCCCTTCAGAATGAAACTGTTTGATGCCCTGTCAAGTGTAACTCAATCCACGTTTCAGGATGTTTTCTTTCAAAACTACAGGACTTCTTGCGCGAGCAAACGGTTTCGCAACTATGGCAATCAAATGAGGACATGTGCATTTGTAGGATTTAGAAAATGACATCTTCCCAAAGACATTCTTCAAGCAAGTCAGAACAGAAAAGAATCAAACAAGTTGGAAGGCGCGCCTCATCAGTCTCGATGTCGCCAACGTTCATGCACAAGTCGGTGCATTGGGCCGGCGATCGGTGTGGAGTGCACGGTTTCATGACCTTGTATATTGCGCACGCTGGAAACACATTGTCAGAGACATTCAAAAATTGAATATGTGTGTCCCAACATTTCCCTACTGCGAGCAACCCGAAACCTAACTGTACAAAGGTACAGCTCTCCTTTCCATGGAATGTTCCTGTCATGCAACTCATCCAGCTTGATATGTTTACGATCGAGCGCGGAGCGGAAATTGAAAAACCCGATGCTCGCATGCCGACAAACACTTTCCACGGCCAGCAAAATCAAAAAAATCGATCCCACGGACCAAAAAACACAATTTTTGCACGGTTATAAACCTACTTATGAGTAGGCCAGAGTCGTTTATCTTTGTTGTATAAACAAGACAGTCATGTTTAGCTAAGTGTGCTAAACAAGCCAACACGATTAGCCCACTTCAAGTGAAATAGGCTAAACGCTATTTGAAAAAGTATTTTCCATCTAATAAATAGTTTGCAGGTTTGCTAACCATTTATCAAAAACCTAACTTTTTTAGTAAGCAGGACAGTGTGGTTGGACACCTTAACCATGTTTATAAATCTAATAACCCATGGTTGCCTCAATTGTAACCATGGTTCCGGCGTCTATGTAAACAGGTTCAATCTAGACAGAGGCTTAGCAACCACGACGGGCATCCAAGTAGGTTCCAAGTAAAGGTTCCGACGGTTCCATGCGAGGGTTCCGAGGTTCCAAGTAAAGGTTCCGAGTGAAGGCTCCGAAGGTTCCGAGGTTAAGGTTCCGTGTCAAGTGTCCAAGAAGTTCCAAGTAAAGGTTCCGAGTGAAGGTTCTGAAGGTTTCGAGGTTCCAAGCGAAGGTTCCGTGTCAAGTGTCCAAAGAGTTCCAAGCAAAGGTTCCGGGTGAAGGTTCTGAAGGTTTCGAGGTTCCAAGCGAAGGTTCCGTGTCAAGTGTCCAAAGAGTTCCAAGTAAAGATTCCGAGTGAAGGCTCCGAAGGTTCCAAGTGAGGGTTCCTAGGTTCCAAGCAAAGGTCCCGAGTGAAGGTTCCGAAGGTTCCAAGTGAGGCTTCCGAGGTTCCAAGTAAAGGTTCCGACTGAAGGTTCCGAAGGTTCCAAGTGAGGCTTCCGAGGTTCCACGTAAAGTTTCCGAAGGTTCCGAGGTTCTAAGCAAATGTTCCGTGTCAAGTGTCCAAAAAGTTCCAAGTTTAAGGGTCCAAGTCAAAATTCCGAAGGTTCCAAGTGAGGGTTCAAAGGTTGCAAGTAAAGGTTCCAAGTGCAGGTTCTGAAGGTTCCAAGTGAGGGTTCCGAGGTTCGAAGTCAAGGTTCCGAGTGAAGGCTCCGAAGGTTCCGAGGTTAAGGTTCCGTGTCAAATGTCTAAAAAGTTCCAAGTACAGGTTCCAAGTGAAGGTTCCGAAGGTTCTGAGGTTCCAAGCGAAGGTTCCGTGTCAAGTGTCCAAAGAGTTCCCAGTAAAGGTACCGAGTGAAGGTTCCGAAGGTTCCAAGTGAGGGTTCCGAGGTTCCACGTAAGTGAAGGCTTCGAAGGTTCCGAGGTTCCAAGCAGGGGATCCGAGTCAAGTGTCTCCGTCCTCTCAAGTCAGTCCATGCATTCTCCAGCCCACAGAGTATCCCCGTCAGCTTTGCAGATTGGTTTCGATCGCTTTCGCATTGTTTTGCTTTCGAGCTGAAGGGTTTTCATGCGAACCCATTCCTTGGCGCGAAGATGCGCAGACTGCCATTCATGCGCTGATTAGTGCAATGAGTCGAGAAACTGCTAGCTACCAGGCTGGCTCCACTCATGGATGATACCTTAGGTTTGAGACTGGATGTTTTTCGTCCGATGGCTGCAGTCAATTTTCAGCGCCAAAGACGAGTGTGCCGTGCAGAGGCCCTTTCATTTGGTAAAAAAGGGTTTTCTGCTTTCAAGGGTGGGGCAGGACGGCCGAATCTGAAACATCCACTTTGCCTCACTTGCTGTTGGGGCTTAACTTGGGTTTATTTTGTTTTGTGGCTACCTGACTATGCAAACCTATTGCAAATTATGGGTGGGGCATATTGTGAGTATAGCGGAGCGTCATGTCGTTCGCAGCGTTTGGCCAGGCTCCTGTGTCTTCATCATCCAGCAGCCCGTGGGCGGAGAGGGCCAAGAAACGGACGTGTTGACAATCACCAGCCGAGACCACAGACCCGGCGGCGGCGGAGGCGGTGGTGGCGGTGGCGGGCCAGGGGGTGGGCCTGGAGGACCTGGTGGCAGTTTCTTGCAGATGAAAAGTGTCACCAGTGTGACAAGTCATGGGCTCAGAGTTCAAAATCATTTTTTTGCATATTGTTCGCGTTTCTTCACTTTGGATTGCTGTTGTTCACTTTGCTGAAGGCGAAGCGAATCATCCAACTTCAAGAGTTTCCAGCGACGCTCAGCCTTCCAGCCCTTGGCCTCAAGAACTGCACTTGTGTTTGGAAGAGTTTCCAGCTGTGTTTTCCACAAATGTGTTTCCAAATTTCTCAGTGTGTAAGGTGTCACAGTTGAAGTTCATCACCATGCAGATGAGTATAAGGCACCACAACCTGGAGATGAAACCATATCCATGAATGCTCTCCAAGGTATGGAGGCGCGGGTGATTGAACAAGTCACAGCAAGGATCCAGGACCTCAAGCAGGACATCAACAAACAGCAGCAAGAGATCACTCAGCTTCCACAAGAGATGGTGGCGTCTTTGCCGACTCCCACCGAATCGGGAAGGAAGCGACACAATCTCAAGCCACGAGACGACCACTTTGAGCTTTGCAGAAAGACCACTTTGACAAAAGCACACAACAAGCGCCAAGTTGGCAGTTCAAAGCACCAGCACAACATCTCCTTGTCTCAGCACGGCAGGCACATGAATGAGGCAGGCACAGAAAGTTCTTGCAACGAGAGCAGCCAAGTTCCGGTTTTTGAGCCTGCGGTTGGTTCCACTGCATGTTGCAATTTCGATGGGCTCCACTGCGCCGGTTGCATGGACTTATCAGACGATGGAAGCACTTGTGTCACCTGTGCTGGGGGCTTTATCCAAAACAGCACAGTTGGTGCGTGTCAAGCCTGCATGGACTTCACCTGGGAGAACAAAGAGGGACAGAACTGCTACGAGATCTCCGCCGAGAGCTGTGGTGGGGAAAAATTCAAAGGTTTTTCCTCCAACGAAGCCTGCTGCCATTGTGGCGGCGGCCATCGCGCAGCAACACCCTTCACGTATTACGTGGGCCCGACCGTTTTGGGCGCCTCGGAGATTGTCGGGCATCCCGTGCCCCGCACCGGCTCCAAGTACTCCGTTAACCAGGAGAGGGCGTGGACCGTTTGAGCATATATGTTCAAGAACAGATTCTGCTGTCTTCCTTTCTCTCCCTGCCCACTTTTTGGCTGTCGCAACAAGATTCGTCCCTTTGTGTTCCCATTTGGCGGCTGTCGCGACATTATTTTGCATGAATTTTTCTCTAAGTGTTTTCATCGTGTCTTCTGCATTTGGTCGCCGTCCTCCCAAAACGAATATTCTTATGTCTTATCACCGTGATTCTTTTCGCGTCTCGCCACTTGTGTGTGGGTGTCTCTCTCTCTCTCTCTCATTTGTTGTGTCCACTGTTTCCGGAGGTGTTTGTGCAATTAGTTTGCACCTGCTGGATCTGAGCTCAAGGCGCCTGTTGGAGATCGTGCATTGGGCTAAAAGGGTCGCTTGGTAACTTTAGTTTGGCGCTGGTTTGGCCTTGAAGGCCGGCGTGCTTGCTGCTTGTTGGCAAGGAATCAAGCTTGAACCACATGTTAGAATGAGGCCACTCAATAATGTAGCAAGACACAGGGTCGATTTCATGTTCATGGGCTGGAATGGCGATTTGCTTCATACCTTCATTAAACCCAAGGCAATCCAATTTCAGCTTCAGTTTGGAGCAACTAGATTGAAGAAAAATTGAATCAAGCAAGGGTATTACGCCGTTCTTGGGGCCATACAGCGGCGCCCGAGAGCAAAATGGTTTTCTTCGTGCTCTTGAGCCTCACCAATCAAGGCCACTTCAGGAGCGATGATGTCCGACGCCAAAAAAGCCAAGCGCCCAAGACCGAGTCAGACTGTTCATTGACCAGGGCCAGCAATGGGTGGCGTGCTCCGATCAGACGAGACTGCCGCCTGTATTTGTTCGGATGAGCCCTGCTTACACGCATGTTCTTGCGCACGTTGCGAGTGTCTTGCGCTTCAAAAGTGTTCAACCACGTTTGTCGTACTTGTGCCATACGTAAATTAAAGATTAAAGAACTATAAATATAAATATAAATATAAATATATATATATTATATATATATATGCATCTTTGAGCTGAGTTGTCCGGCAATCTGATTGCATGCCAATCTTGATGCACTCGCGGCACAAGGATCGTATAGATGATGTGTTTGTCGCGTGTTAAATCTCGACAAATGGGAAGTTGGTCTGACTGGCGGCGGTTCATAGTTGATACGTGGATCAATCTTTGGAGGGTTAAGGACCGCATTATAGTGTCGCAAATCTTCCCAAAATTTGGGACCATGTTTGGAGGATGTTGTTCCAAATGTCTAACATAATAACATAGCCGATGTATGCGCCATTGAACAAATTCTCAAAAGCTGCAGGTGTCCAAAAGCCCCCAGCTAAGCTGACTGAGCACCACACTACTACGCCGCGCTAGTAGGCGATGCTACGCGCTGTAAAGTTTCTCCAAAACACATCGTTCTAAAGACATTTGTTTAGATTTTGTCCGGAGATCGACCGCAAGTAGAAAGGTGTTTAAAGACTCATTTTGAAGGAGTGTGAGCTGGTGAAGTACGGCCTGACGATCGATGCCTCCACCGGCGAATTGAAGTTTGCAGAAAGTTGCAGCGGACCCAACGTGGGCTGCGAGGGCTCCAAAGCCACTGAGGCCTTCACTGTATCCTGCACTGTCACGGCCGAGCAAGAAGGACCTGACGCCTTGACAGCCTCTGCTCTTTTGACGGTGATCGCTTATCAGGGCTTCTCTTACACTTCGGCTTACCCTCGGATTTTCCATGATGATGTACAGACTTCATACACGCCCGAAATAGCAGGTGAAGTCACTCAGGACAGTTTTCAGCTCTCTGGATGTTCGCCTGATGTCTCAGGCCGAGTGACTTTGGATGCGAATTCGGGCGTGCTGACGCTTGACGCCAACGTAGACGCCGCAAGCGGTGTGACCGGTGTCGACGGGGTTGGTGCAACCACGGGCGCTGTATGTTGCTTGGCCACAATCCCAAACCTCGTTTGTTCACCCTTGGTGGAAAAGAATCTTGAGATTTGCATGGGTCATTCATTGAGTGATTTTACGATTTGTGAATCCATGTTTGCATATTGCGCATGTTGTGTGTGACAGATTCAGCTTTGCAGGCTACATAACGGCAACAATTGACTCGGTTTCTTCGACGGTTCCCGTGGTGGTGCTGTGGCCAGAGATTTGGGATGCTTTGGCCTATGAGAATCATGATTCCAGCACCGTGTTGTACGCCACGGTGGGACAGAGGGCGCCGCTTTTGAAGCCGACCGTGGAAGAGGGCAAAGTACCACCGAGCCGTTTCTCCGCTTATCACAGTGATGTGTCCTTCGATGTCTTGACGGGCGCCGGAACTTATCAGGGCCTTTTGCTTTTCCACCTCGACGTGAGCACTGGCTACTTCAGGCCAGCTGTTGCGTTAGATTGCTAGCGATGAAGCAAAACGAGAGAAGTCCGGGTTTTGTTTGTTTTGCCCTGATTGTTTCTGCTCTTCGTTTGCATGGAACGCCTGTCCGTGCACATGGAAGGCTAGAACCTTCGCCAGCGCTCGTGGACGTTCTCGCAGATTTCACCACCCGTGCAGAATTGGCATTGACCATTACGGTTTTTGCGCATTACGAGTGGCCAGCTCTTGCAACAGGCACGGTTGCAGAAACGGGGACAATTGTTCTCTAGAGACAGGTTGCCACTCCAACCTTCGCATGTTTCTTTTTGACTGTTTTCAGGCCCGGTGAAGCAGATGGAGCTGATGCTTTCGATTCGAGATTCCACCTGTTGGGTGACTCAAGAACTCAGCTTTTCTGCCAGACAGACCTTGGGCAGTGCTGACTCTGAGGGTGCCTGCAAGAAGCTGTGCCGCTCAGATCTTCAATGCACCCACATGAGTTTCTCTGATTCAGTTTGCTATTCCTACAGCCGGCTGTGTACTGGAGACTGTGAATATGGGACCGTGGATGTGGTGGCTCGATATGCGAATTGCGCTGAGAGAACTTCTTGTGTGACCATCTCCATGAATGACCACTACTACTTGTCGGGTGAGTATTGCCCTTATGGTGAGAGTGGAGACGGCCAGGTCTTCTTGAAGGTTGGCCGGACAGAGCAGGATTCTTTCTGGCTTACAGCAAACGATGACTCGGGTTCATGTGACAAAGACACCTACGGTTCCATGTTGCGCACCACAGATGCGACGCACGACTTTTGGAATGTCTCCAAGAATTACGTTGAGCACCATGGTGAAGTCGTCGCATGCATCGGAAAAACCATCTCTCAGATCGTGGACACCGTCTTTGAGACCTCCTCATCACTAGTGTCTTGGTGCTCAGATGGCAAGCTGGATGATAGTGGCACTTATTGTTGTTCTTTCGGCTGCACACAATGCACTCAACAAGGTTGTGGTAGTGCTGGCACAGTCGAGGGTGATGTTTGTTGTTCGCAAGAGAACGAATGCACTACGATTACAGAGGTCGGATGCAAAGTTCCAGACACGCCTTTGGACCTGGTCACCATGGCCTCGTTGTCGGCGCCGTCCTGTGGAGCTCCCAATTTGACTTTGGCCGAGACCATTCGAAGTGGCTCCAGCGCCACGGCGGAAGTCTCTGAAGTCTTTGGTTTGATCTTGGACGACCCGGCGACAGAAGTCGAAGCGGACTATTGGTTGCATCCGTGCCATTGTGCCCCACCCGACTGGGGCAACAATGCTCCAGTTTCCGCCGATGCCTTTGCGGAGACCCCAGCCACAACCAGCAACATCTTCGATGCTCCACCCTTCCAGATTGTGGACGGCGCGTTTGTGTGTGAACAGGCGTCCTTGTTGAACATCTATTTGGCCGAAGATGATCCAACAGCTGAGAGTTTTCAGCCTACCGATGTTCACACCTGCCAAGTGCATTGCGCAGATGAAGAAGAAGTGACTGGAGAAGCATGCTATTTCTTCTGGTTTGGCACAATCGGGCAGAGCCAACAATGCTGGACCTTCAAAGCATGCACGACTTTGTTCCGTCGTGTTGGGATGAGTGGACAGCTCATGGCCACGCCGTGGGGTTCAAAGGTTTGCGCGCTGGCCAACGCTGAGCTTTGTTGGCACGTGACGAAGAGACGAGAATTTCTTACTGCCTCCCAACCGCAGACCTACCCGACCTGTTTGCACCAGTCTCTCTTTGAGCAATGCGATCAGAAACTCATGCTCGGAGGCACCTCAGTCTCTGGCTGTGGCCAGTGCAAGTATGCTCCCGTTCCTCAAGACTATCCAACATGGAGTACCATCGCAGACTCGGAGTACCATCGCAGACGTCGCAGCGGTATAACCTTGAATGTCGTGGAGTTTGGTGACGCGCTTTTCGAGGACAATAACAACCTGATGTATGGAAGTACGTCAGGCGCGGGTTTCTCAAGCGCCAACACCGTTGGTTCATTCCTCTACGGTGCAAACTGCTATTACATCCAGCAAGACAAACAGGCGTTTGCCAATGAATCCGACGCAGAAGTTCTTACAGTGACTCCACCATGGGATGCCGTCGTTTATTTGCAGTGGTATGATGCCGAGGACTACGTCGCCATGAGCCATTTGCGGGTCGAGCCCTTCAAGAGATGGCCGACCTACAATGACTGGAGCTATGTCATGAACGCCAGCAATCCGTTACGTCCTTACCGGACGATGGAGTCCATGTGGTTCAAACAAAAGGTCTCGGCAGGCGAGCCTGTCGAATTCTATGGCTCTGACCCTGGAACCAACGAAGAATATCTCCCACCCTTGATCTTCTTTTGCCCCGCCAACATCGAAGCCACTTTGTCTTTGTCGAAGTCTGTGATGCCTTCGGTCTTCGAACATGGCAGTTCTCTTCATGCTCGTTGTTGGACGGAGCGGTATCGTTCCAAGGACTCTGAGAATTACACGGCCATTGCCGCCGAGATCCGCTGCGTGGCCGGTACCTGGGTCAACGCTGAGGGTACCAAGGGCTTGGCCAACTTCGAGCGACTCGAACGGCAATTGTTTGGAGCCATCAGCGCGTGACGAAATTTTCGCGTCTTATCCAGTTGTGGATGTTTCTTGATTTTGTCGTACTGTGTTCTGTGCAGGATGGGTCTATATTTTTTGCTCTTGCGATAACCGAAGACTCTGTTTGTGGCCGCTAGGGGCATCGAATTCTTAATTGGCGTCCCCTTTGGGTGCCTATAACAGTCATCGCCCATTCCTGCAGACACATCATACGTGGAAACCAGAGCATCACGAACAGAAACGAACCATTCAGGCAATGGCGCTCCTACCATAGGGACAGGTTGACTTTCAACCATAATTTTGGCAAAAACCGCACACAGCTGTGGCGGATATGCCTTTAGCTTGCCAGTTCCAAACACCACAATGGTCAGTCCCTATCGACACAACCTTCGGAAGCGGAGGGAGCCTATACCATCAAAGAAGAACTCTTCTGCCCTTTCGGTGATATTGGCGCATAAACTCGGTTGGTCTTACTCACGAAAGCTAGCTGTAGCTAGCTGGAGTCAGCTGGAGTCTGTCTTGCCCAGGACCTGAGTGCTGTTACCTGATATATCAGTACTATACCCCCTCCCCCCTCCCCCTGTGTTTGGTAGGGTCCTAGGTCCCCCTAGGCGTGTCTACGCTATACATGTGTAGC